CTGAACAAAAAACAATGAACTGCCAAAAGAGAAAATATACATCTAAAATAGTCCTACAAACATGAGATTTGTCATGAGAAAAGCTAATATGGACCGCTTAAATGTAGAAAAGTTGAAAAAATAATAAATATTACATGCTAATAGGTAATATATGCATATAAGATCCTTAAATTCAGGACTGATCCTAGGTAGACATCAGAACATAGCAAAACATGTCCTTTCCAAAACTTGCATGACCTCTGAATGTTCATAATCATCTAAGCCTTGTCCCACCTATACGGGACAGTTACATGAATTCTGTTTCACCACTCCTTCTGTTCAGTGCCATATTAAGAGACCTTTGAATATTGTTAAAACTATCAAGAGGCGTAACAGTTACATGAATTCTGTTTCACCACTCCTGTTCAGTGCCATGTCAAGAGACCTTTGAATATTGTTAAAACTATCAAGAGGCGTAACAGTATGAAAAATTACATCCATACATATGGATCACTTAAAATTTTCCTGAACAAAAAACAATGAACTGCCAAAAGAGAAAATATACATCTAAAATAGTCCTACAAACATGAGATTTGTCATGAGAAAAGCTAATATGGACCACTTAAATATAGAAAAGTTGAAAAAATAATAAATATTACATGCTAATAGGTAATATATGCATATAAGATCCCTTAAATTCAGGGCTGATCCTAGGTAGACATCAGAACATAGCAAAACATGTCCTTTCCAAAACTTGCATGGAACAGCATGGCTATTTGCCAGGACATACTTGATTTGCTAATGAATTAAGGTTGTAATGAGTAAAATAATTTGTTCTAAAAGAATTAAGATTGGAAAGGAAAGGTTCAGTAGTCCATGGCATATAAATGCCTCTCCATACTTGCTTAAACGATGATATCCTGCTTCCTATGCATCCAGGATATAAGGGAATAGAAACACAGAATATCTAATCTGTGGTGTTTGAAAAAATTTTAGTCCAGTCAAATTTTGCAAAGCTAAAATTGCATTCATGAAGAAGGGATAAAAGGAATAAGAATAAAGGACTAAGAAAATGGTTCAAATATTAACCAACTAATCAAGGAAGAGCATAAAAGTGAAAGTACAAAGAAATGTAATTGTACCATAAAAATATATCAACAATGTACAAGATGCAAAATGTTAAATCCTAAACAGGTTAAATGCCAAGTTGAAAAGAAATTCCAAAATTTAACAAATTCTAGCAACATAATTGTACATAATAATTAATCCTAGAGAGAAAATATCCCTTGGAGAAAAGCACAAAACCAATGGGTTTAGACAATGAAAGAATTTTGATGAACTAAGTCGACTCTTCTTCCAATTTTGAGTGATTCACGGAGGATAACAGTTCAACCATGAATCGACATTATGACAACAACAACAACAACCCTAATTCAGTTACCTTCAAACCAAGAGCACCTGCTCTAAGGAGAGCCTCCAGAATACTTGTATTAAATGCATTTTCAGGAACAAGACCTCCCCAAAAACCTATTGGCATAAACACAAACTGCAATTACTACCGTTTCCAACTTTCCATTAGTATGCCAAGGTATAGTTCAAATAGCATACCAACATCAACATAGATCTTATTTCTTGCAGCTTCAACCTGTTAACCAGGATAAAGAATATGATCAGTAAAGTCATACATGGCAGACAGAAATAAGTAAGCACAAATAGAATATAGAATGAGAATGAACTTTGTCATATAGAATGGATATAGTAAGATAAAAAATATTTATGGAAAGCATGCAATAGTCACCTTTAGTCTTAAAGTTTCTTCAGATACTGTGGAGGGAAAACTGTTAAGAGGCATGTCAATCAATGTTGTTATACCACCTGAAAAAGCATAGATTACAACAAGTGCATCATTAGCTCTTGCACACCGACCATAATAAAACCTTTTAAATTTTCATGCTCTAAATAGTTAGACACCACATGATGGAGGTCTGGTATCAACCCATAGCCACAAGCAAAATGTATACATGTACTGATAAAGGCAAATGCATTTTGAGGCAATGCTATGAAGATGCATTCTGCCTTTATAATCTTTATACATTGACTATATTCTCCAAAAGTTCAATAAGGAATCATATGCCATACATTTCAGGCATCTATGAGAACATGTTTTTTTCTTAAATAAGGAGTCTTGATAAGATACATACCAGCAGCTGCTGCCTCAGTCCCTGAAGAAAATCCTTCCCATTCAGTCCTTCCTGGTTCATCAAGATGTGCATGACTGCCATGGATAAATAGTTATAACCCAGAGAAAACAAATAAAAAGAAACTGCCATCTAAAATAAAATAATGAATGTGCATTTGACTTAATTGATTACCTAGGAACACAAGAATGTGCTTGCATGTAAAACCAACTGAAACAATAACACCAATACACCATGTGGTCCCCAAAATTATCATAGTACATGATTAATTTGTATAAGAAACTAATGATCATAACATTTTTAATTGCTGCATGTTAGATGAAGTACTTGTTCATATTGTATCATCTTATGTACAAATATTTCTAATCTGAAAGAGAAGCTCTTTCATGCAAATATTTGTTCTTCTAAATGAATAAAAAGAAATAAAATTTATTCTAAAATTAGTAATTACTCACATGGAGGGTCAAAACCAGGAATTCTTCCTCCAAGGGAGAGGGGGAACAGAATAAATATAATTAATTAGAATTTATAAAATTTTACCAAAAAATTAAAACTAGATAAAATTTTCATTGATTTTTTAAGAGAATAGAAGTGACAGGCTATGACTTTTTATTTTAATTTCCAATTTTACATTTGTCCAGTCCTGGAGAGTGCCTTAGATTTCACCTAACATGAAATGGTTTTATTACCACCATTTTTGCATCTCTGATGATCATTTCTGTTATGGTAGGAGAAATTATAATTGCTTTCAACATACAATATCTTAATATTTTTTAATAGAATCATTAATCCATGTGAGTCACAAGGTAAGGTACATAGCTTCAAGCAAAATAAATATGAAGTGACAAATTTAGGTTAGCATGCACGAAAGGATAAAGAGTAAACCACTAGAGATGGTTTTCTGCATCTTACACATCAATTAAGCCGGGCATGACAACAGCCTCTCCATAATCAATCACATGTGCCTGTCCTTGCTTCGGCCAATTCTCTCCTTCAACCACGGATGCAATGTTCCCTCCCTTTACCTCAACTACTCATTCCAGATTCAAATAAAATAACTAATCAACATAATGCCTTCTTTGTCTAAAGCTTTACCATGATGCTGATAGAGCAATGAAGGGAAAAAATAGCCTATTTATTATAAATTTGAGTTAAGGCAACACCTTCATGTCATTACATCAAAGGTTTCTCAAAAGTATAAAACCCTTTTTTGGTGAAAATGGAAAGTGAGCTACACAAAACGGGGGTAGCCCTTCCCCTCAAGGCTAGAAAATCAAAGTTTTGGCTGTAAGAAGGCAGGAATACAATTGAAATTTTACGAATTCAGAAAATTTCAACCTATTTTAAAATGAAACAAATAGATATAAAAAGAAATTTGAGATGTGATATCTCGCACAACAAACCTGCACCAGAAATGACCCCTTTTGGTGTAACAATGCGATTGCTAGTTATCCAATAACTTTCATAAGGAAGAAGGCTGCATTCAGTGTTTGCTGGCTGTAACAAAAGTGGGCACGCTATGGTTAAATTAAGATTAAGCTAGTCTTTGAGAGAGAGAGAGAGAGAGACATACAAGTATACAATGGATAAATCTTTTGCCTATTGGAACCAAAATAGGCAAAATAATTCCTTCATACTCAAGATATACTGACCAGTCAACCACATGTTTTAAATCTTTTGCCTAAAACGAAGAAAACAAATAACAGACTCTCTTGCCTAAGAGTTAATCACTGAAGAACTATAAATCTAGAATCGATTTGGTTTTGGTCAAGCAGGAGTCCAGTGATCAACACTATAAAAATATGAAATAAAGATATTACATAAACGTAAATATAATCCCGCATGTACATGCAGAGACAAATGCGCAAAATAAATAGATGCATCAATAGGCAACTACCAGAAATAGAAGAGTATTTCAAGGACTTAAATATCAGAAACTAATACGCAACCATGAATAACGTAAAACAGAGAGATAAAATGAAAACTTTGATAAAATTTCATGTATATTTCTACTAAATAAATCACTAAAATCTGTTTTTTGTTTTTTGTCAATCAGAAATTGCTGAAATCAATACAATCTCAACAAAAGGTGTTAATATAATAGAAAAATCTGAAACCAGAACTCAACCATAATCAATCACATCGAAGACAGGGAAATGATATAACAGAGATGAAACAGACAAGGGAGAGAGAGAGAGAGAGAGAGAGAGAGAGAGCAAGTCTCAGTTTATCAAAAGAAAAAGAGACATCAAGTCCCCGACCTTGGAGGATGTTCTGATGTAGAAAATAAAAACGGAGGCTATAACCGATAGAAGAGGATACAGCCTCCATCGCAGATTATCCATCTCTGCAGAACACACTGTAGTCTGTATGCTCTGCTCTCCTCTGTTTTTCCTCTATTCTCTCTCTCTCTCTGAATTTCTCAATACATGGAAATGGAATGGAAGCCAAGTAGCCAACCAATGGTAAATAAATACAAAAGAGTGGCGTCATTAGTGAAAAAAATAAAAATAAAATATATTTAAAAAAAGGTGGTGTCAGTTCCTCATGAGTGGGAAAAACAGCCAGCAGGCAGCAGTGGAATCTTTTGTATTTGTTATTGTTGGGAGGGCTTGTGATTCTCTGAATCTTTGATTCGACGTCCCATCAGTCCAGCTCATATATTTCCACCGCTGAAAAAAAATATTATTTTTCTGTTCACGTGTCCGACAAAACAGATGTCACGTGACACGTCGATTAACGAAGAGGACCGCATCTAGGAGGAGACCGGATCTGCTCCTCATACAGGGCGCCTCACACCGACCTCACACGCATCTTACCATACATTGGGAACATCTCCCGTACGTATTATTTTATTAGTTATTATTCACGCGAGCGATGTTCCCAATCCATGGTGGATGTGCTTGTGAATAAGGTTCAAAGTATCGATACGTATTGGCCGATACGTATCGTTCCGATACCCCACCAATACGCTCCTATAATGGGTGTATCGGTGGTTTGATCAAGGTGTAGCGAAGACCTAAACTGGTTCCCCTGAACTAGTTGGCAAAAAAAAATAAAAAAAAAACCACCAAAAGGAGTATTGATTCGTCCGATATGCCCATAACAGTGTATCAGACATCGATATTTTGAACCTTGCTTGTGAAGCACCCATTTATGAGGAGCAGATCCTATTCCCACATCTAGGGCGACTCGAGATCTGCAACCCACATCCATACCCACAGAGCACCATCACCATGCATTGGTAACATCTCCCATGAATGACAAGGGAGATATTCCTAATGTGCAGTTGTCATGTCATGGATAGGTAGAGATGTGGGAACATCTTGTGGATAGCAGATCCGAATTCATCTAGACTTAGTATCTCTTGCCAACAAAACATGTACCCATATCCTACTAACATAATCTTACTTACCATGAAACTGGGAGTTGGGACCCATCATTAAAATGGGAACTGCCACATCTCATGCATGGTGACACACCATGGAGCTTGGATCTACTGCTTGTAGAGTGTTCCTCACATCGACCTCACAGCATGTCATGGTTGCACATTGGAAGCATCTCTTGTACTAGTATTTATTATTTATGGGGAGATGTTCCCAATAAACAGTGGGATGTGGTTGTGAGGTTAGTGTGAGGAACGCTCTATGAGAAATAGATTCAAATTCGTTGACATGTGTAGATATCAAGATTTTAAAAACTGACTCAGAAGCGGAACCATTCTAATCACCAGTTTAATTAGCTGATTCGAATGGATGGCCTGTTCCAACGAATGGATGGTTCATCTATTTAAATTATCAAATCGCTGACCAATTCAATATTTTTTGACTAAAAACTGGATTTAGGTCAAATGTAATCGGTTGCCTGAACAGTTCTCGAGCCGAGTGTTCCGATCGTCCAGGTCAACTGAGGTTTAAAAACATGGCGGATACAAATCTTGATGGAACATAATGGGAAGAGCTTTTTTGTCAAGAAGAAATCCCAACTCGCTTAGAAGCGTTGCCATGTGTTATTCACTTATTTGATTGAAGGATAAAACATAAAATTTCTGATTATCATAATTACCTTTTATGAAGTATCACTTTAACAAAAACCTGCTCCCTAATTTCACAAAAACCTGTAGTCTTTCGTCTTTGTTCTATTAATAGAGACTTAGAAATTACTCTTACATCTTACATCTTAGGGCATCTTTCAATATAGTTCAAAATATCATATTTGCCCTTATAAATTTCACTAAACCAAATGTTTTTTACAGAATAAAATTATTTTATTCATTTAAATTTGATTCAAGGAAATTCATTAGGCCAATGTTTTCCGTCCAAGACAATAACAAAAAGGAGTTAGTTGTAGGTTTCTTCAATACCACAGGGGGATTTTGTGAAAGTAAAATCTCAAAGGAAGTTTTTATGATTGTCAAAATCTAGTGTTTTCAAAATCAGACCGGATTAAATGATTGGACCGGAAAAATTGGGAACCAGTCACTTGATCGGTTCTATTTTACCTCAAAACCAGTTTTTGGCCAAAAACTGTTGATTTGATCAGCAAATTGCTGACTCAAACGGTTGAACCATCGAACTGTCGACTCAGACAATAGTTTTGGCTGTTTTTTTGTTTTTTAATTTTTTTGTCAGAATAAACTGTCCATTCGAACCAGACAGTCAGACCATTTTACCTGGAAATTGGTCCTCAGAATGGTTCCTTGTTCAGTCCGGTTTTAAAAACTTTGTCAAAAACCGCAGAGAAATTTTCATAATTTACCTTTGATTAAAATTGTATGACTTGAACCAAGCACAATTTCCTATTTGATTTATAGCAACACATCTCAAACGTGTTTCAAACTTGAATGTTGTCATTGATGGATCCTACTTTTGAGACTGTAATCATGCTTGAGATGTGTGGCTATAGATCATATAAACAAGCCACTACTTTTGAGACTGTAATCATGCTTGAGATGTGTGGCTATAGATCATATAAACCAGCTATGTTGGTAGCATATGCAGAACATGCATACAGTAATACAACAAATCCAGCTTTTGCTCCTCACAAAGCGCTCGTTACACCAATCTCACAGTACTTGGAACTGCACATCTGGAATATATCCATATGAGATCGGCTTCAGTTCTCACAACAACTGTGCTCACACTGTTGGCACAGCCTTTTACACCGTGCGTTGGGAATATTTCCGTACTTATATATATTTTTTTAATGGGGGAGATATTCTCAATGCAAGACTGCAAGAGATTATGCAAACGATGTGTCATTCATGGGAAGATGTTCGGATGCATTGCAACGTGTTGCAAGGTTGGTGTGAGCCGTGAGATGCACTATGTGAGGAACAAATTCTATTTTATATATAAAGAAGTGTAACAGATGCAAATACATGACAAGGCAACAAATTCTATTTCATATATAAGGCAACTGACCAACAACACAACAAATTTCTACTTCATATTGTCATCAAGGCTGTATTTAGTTGTAGTGCAATTTTATTTGCATTAGTACAAATGCATGAAAGTACAAATAAAAGTAATGTAGATTCTGGTTTAATTTTAATTTGAGTTTTATTTCATTTTGCTTGAAGTATTAACTTCATTTATACTCCAATAAATTCGAAATAAAAGTAAATCATAATTTGCACTGCCATGGTTTTGCATCGTACAAATAAATTCCCATTACAACCAAACACAGCATAAGTTTTGACATACTGCACGTTAATTATGCATCTGGATCATGTCCCAATACACGCACGCTCCCAACAAGCCAATATAGTTTTGGGGAAGATGGGCATGAACCGGCTTCAATTATTGTACAAAATGCTGTACATCATACATCATTCGAAAAGTAAAATTAGCACTATCTCAGACTCAGCCTCCGGTAGGCTGTAATTCAACCAACTCAATCAACTCTTACATTTTCTGCAAAGCTTCCCTTCCCAGTAGGGACCTCTTCCTTCCTCAAGCCTTGGACTCTTAGACGAGAAGATCTCTCAATTCGTTAACAATGCGCCAGCAGCCAGAGATATCAAGCTGCCAATGGTGGTCGGAATTTGACCGGAATTCACCATGCTTTCGTTTTCCGGTAAATGGGGGGGG